TTATGCCTTCAAAATTTTCTGACAAACATAGTTTTAACAACAGTCACTTGCTCAGAATATTAGTTTTCTCTATTTAAGATAAGACGAATAAGTTATGTGCAACTGAAAGTTTTCAAATTTTTTTCAACATTTTTCAACATTTTTCAATTTCTTATCGTTTTTTTAAAGGTAAAAAAGCAATGAATGCATACTTGTATGTTGAATTACCAAAGACTATTTTGTTGATGTGATCATTAGTTTATGAAAAATGGACTTTCTTTTATGAACATTTATTCTTTTTCCATCTTAGTTGAATAAGGCAAATATTTGCGTGAGACTAGATAATGAATTTTGCAACTTTGTTGTTCAAACGGCTTGAATTTAATCTTGGAGACCCTCTCAACTTTTTCACAAAGCCATGTTTTTTTAACATTGGATTTTTTTTGTATAGCAAGGCGAAAAAATTGAAGTTAATGGAGAATGAATTAAAAATTGTTCAAATGGGTTTCTTTATGATCCCTCAATTTTTTCAAATTTTATTTCAATCTTATTTTAATTAGAGTAATATCAGAAACAATTTTGAAAACTGAATCAACAAATCTTGAAAGCTTAATTGAAAACCACTTTCGAAACGAAAACTGAAGAGAAATTTTCCGCTTTTTCTGCTTTGAAGAGTGAATTTGTTTGATGTAAGAATTAACAAGTTTTGAAAGAGAATGCCGATGTTTTAATCAAGGACATTGTTCAAGGACCTGCTTAACTTCTTTTTTAAAATAAAAAGTATTCAAGAGATAAGATTCTATTTCTTTTGCGAGAACATGACAAAAATCACGCCTTAATAAAATTAGGAATAACATGAATTGAATTAAGCTGAAGAGCTTGCGATGATTCTTATCGCCAAAGACAAATGATTTGTTCAATCTGATTTGGTTTATCAAAAAAATTTACTTTATCAATCAAAATCCTATCTGCTGTTTATAACTATGCTCTCGCTAAATTCTTGTAACATGGCCCCAATCTGTTATGAATTTACTGTTCCGATCACAGTTAAAGACTGGATAGGAATTAAGATAATGCCAAAGGGCATCAAAACATAGTTGCAATCCAAAAAAAATCCATTTTTATTTCCAAAATCAAAAAACTTTCATAACAAAACTAAAAAATCAGATAAAAGCAATTGAACAATGGTCAATCCAGAGTTGCATAAAGGAGCGTGCTTTCAAATCAAGATTGACTGAGTTGATTTTTCACTTTTCCGATAATGCTTCAAAGACCTTATTCAGCTGCAGCCAAAATTGTGAAAAGAAATGGGCCAAAATGACGTTTAATACAACTTTTTGAAACTTTTGACCAAAAAATGCGTAAATGCAGTTAAAACTGAAAATTATAATTGATTGAATTGTAAAAAGCAATTAATTTTGATTGCGCGAAACTATAAAATCATTGTGGTGTTTTTTCTCGCACACTTGTAGATACTTTAGGGAATGACTGCGGTATGTTTTACAAAAAATCCTTTTGAGACTTAACTCAGCAAAACGACATAAGAAAATCTTCTCTCGAAGAATCTCTTAATAATCAATAAAACTAATTTGTCAAAAAATGACCTGTTTTCAATTCACTTCAATTACGGGAGTGTGATGAGATTTTATCTCGAGTATTTTATCGAGAAAACTGCTGCTACTGGGCTTGCATTTAGCGGCCATACTGTACATTAAAAAGGCTCACCTTTTGGTGTGTGTTAGTCGCTGGAATTCTGAGACAAAACTTTAAACCTGTTCTAAAAAATGAGTAGATTCAACTGACAAAGTTCAGTAGATTCCACGCAAAAATACCTTGCAACGTAAATTTCGCGGGTACCCTATTTATAGGCACTTAGCATAGTGGTAAGGCGTTGACTTTGAGATAGTCAGATCGTGTAATCGATCCTCTGCCATGGCAATGATAGTGCGTGAGGACGAGCTCTCACTTGACCTCTAGCTTCAGGTCTACCACAACCTGATCGATAACGGCTGCAATATTGGTACCACGTAAAAACTCTAGACGCAAAAAACAGCCTTGAGTCGCAAACAAGAACTTCGCTCAAAATAATCTCAACAAAAGCTTCGCTCGATAGCCTTTTAAATATCCTCTGCGAATTGCAGAAACCACAATTGTAATTATTATTTATTGTTATAAGTTTTGTCACAGATTCTACTGCGAGCGAATATCACAAAATGTTCTGAAATCAGCAAGTAAACTAGCAAAAAGGGGAAATTAAAATGCAAGGGTTTGATTCTTGTCAGAGGAATCCGAGAACAAACCTTATACGTTAAACCATCAATAAAACTAAATTATTGCTGTAACTCGATAATTTCTAAAAAAAAAAAACGCATTGAAATTTTCATCGTTTATTTTTCACCATTTGGAATGAACGTTCAATTTTGCAAGTTTTAAGACCGGGTAAAATTTTTTAGAATAGCCAACCGGAAATATAAAAGGAAAACTGATAGCTTTTAAATAAAATACTGAAAGTCTTGTAGTTTTACTGAATTATATCTTACATGCTGATATAGTGACTTTAATCCTAATTGCGAATTGGAGACTTTTTATCTTAGTTACAGATATGATGAGGGAATTGAAAGAAGGAATTGTCCATTGCTAGTGGAAGAAACCAATAAAAAATCTTAACGCATTATTAAGTCTAAACCGATTATATGCTTCTTTCGCTATTAAAAAAACCTTAAATGGTGCAAATCCTACATTACTCTACAAACTGTTTTCCCAGCAAACTGATTTCCAAGACTTTATTCCTTAGTGCTGACAAAATGAGTTTCATGCGATCTGCTGACATGGTGAACTGATTCTAGTTGCTGGAATAGCAGGTTGAAAAAGTTTTAAGCAGAAAGACTTAATCATTATATGTATATATATATCAAAAGAAACTGACAAGTTTTATGTTTTACAGGCTGTTATCTTAATTATTGACATGGTGAATTTAATCCTAATAGCTGATATGATTATTTTATTCTAAATGCTGATATGATAACAGAAACTCTAAATATGATATGTAGACTTTTTTTTGATTTGCTGATGGGGACTACTACTAATGTGCTGAATTCTATTGTAATTCTATTGCCTGTATATTGAAGTTATTCCTAAATGCTATTTGATGAAACTCATTGCTGATGGTGACTTTTGATCCATATACAGATATGTAGACCTCTATTCTGTTTGCTGATTTGTTGAATTCAATCCTAAATGTTGACATGGTGAATTTTATCCTAATTGTTGATATGATGATTTTATTCTAAATACTGACATGATGGCTCTAATAATGAATGCTGATTAGATGATTGTTATCGGAGTCGCTGACATTGACTTTTATCCGAGTTGCTAATGTATGGAAATAATCCTACTTGCTGTGCTAGCAGATTGAAAAAGTAGCAGTTGTAGACCCACAAAATTGGCTTAGACATTTTTTTAAAGATTCTATTTATTAATGTAACTATATATGTTGCTGCTATATTACACCCACAATTGCGGATTCAATGACAGCGCAATTTTTTTTCACATCCTGATTTTTCTGTGTATTCTTATTTTTTTCTGTGTTTTGGCTTCTTCATTTTTTGCAGAATTTTCCAATTCGGCTGCCTTTAGACTGATTTTGGGTAAAATATTGTCTAAGTGAAAAGCACTGCAGAATAGTAGATTTTGTAATAACTAATTATATCAAGGCTAATTAATTTTACCGTAAATTCATCTTAATACATCAAAACTTTCATCTAGTTAGTTTTTTTGGCAAAACGGCGCTTCTCAGAAGTTTGTCTCAGATAACGTGTTGCTGTTTTCTTGGGTTCGATTATGTTTCGAAACCGTATTCGACATTATGATCGACTAATATCCGACCACTTTGTGGTCAACTTTGCGTTTGACTATAATTGGTGTTCGGCTTTGTGTTCGACTTGGTGTTTGGCTATGATCCGAAATAATTTGGCTATGTTTCGACTATACATTTGGCTCTTTCGAAATCGCGTTAAACAGAAAGGACTATTTTTGGCCAAACATTTTCTGTCAACAACACTTCAACCCGGGTGAATTGCTGAACGTTACGAATGAATGTGTGAAGAGCGCAAGTAGTTAAACCCCACAGTTTTTAGTGTGTACATGCATCAGCCTTACTCCTGGACACCGCGGAATCAAGAAATTTGTTTCAAATTTCACATTCATCTATTTTAGAACAAAATTGTCAAACTGCAAAATTTAGAACAAAATTGCTAGACTGCAAATTTTAGAACAGAACTGCTAGACGACAAAGCCCAGAATATTCCTTCCGACTGCTTTTTAAGGTCCATAAAGCACTCTACGCTTACAAAAATGATAAATTTTATAAGAAAATTTAAAAGTTAAAAATTCATCCCCTACTCGCCTTATAAAATACCAACTTCTATATAAATAAATTTTTGAGATTGGAAAATAGCTTACGCCCTACTAGCGCAAAATATATCGCGCGATAATTGTCCTAAATAAGCTATATTACCATTATTTAAGCGCACATTTGTTGACAACAAATAATCACAGGTAAAATATCATTTTTTTTTTATTTGAGCTCAGGACAACAATATTCTTCGGATAATAAAAATTTCCGTCAAACATGAGTAGTTAAAAAGTTGGAATTTGTCTGCAGGAAAAAACCATCCCGATCACAAATATTTCGTCACTTTGTTCAAAAGTCGGAACAAAACAGAAGTATTCTAGAGAAACATCCCTTGAGAGAGCGCTAGAAGACTAAATCTAGCCTATTTTCAGCCGTCTCAGGGAACGGATTAAAAGCCAAAGTATTTAATCTGTTGTATTTTATACGACGAAGTCCATGCGATAATGTACGATAGGAAAAAAAGCAATGAAAATGACCATGTCGAAAGCGTAGATTTATCTTTCAAACTTTCCAACCTCTTGCAAAATTATTACTGTGCAATAGAACTCAAAGCTGAACAATAGCTAAACTAAAACCGAATGATTAATGCATATGCGTTTTTTCTTACCCTAGAAATGATTCTTCGTTGTTACCCCATTCGTCCAGCATCAGAAACTGCTGCATGTCAGTGCCCGTTCCCCCTCTCCCTCCCCCTCCCCCTCCCATCTGCTCGCAGTATTCGGAGAACCGATTGAAGCTCGTCATGTACTGCTGTCCGGAAGTCTGAAAAAACGCGACGAGGTTATGTTGAAATAGTTGAAATTAGGTCGCTGAAAGTATGTGAATGATACTAATTTGTAGAACTAAATGGCCAATATAACGCTATAAAACTGCAAAATCGAGGGAAAAGGTCTAGTTTTTTTTAAAGTTGTATATAACATGAAACCGATAAAATTTCAAGAAATTTTAGTATTGCCATTTTTCATATTAATTATTAATGGGAGGCCTGGCCATTAATCTGGTGTTTTTTTCTTTATTTTCACACGAACTGTTCTGACCTTGTGATTGTTGCCGGCTAACTGTCTGTTCTGCTCGGTTCCGTTACTTGCGGGGGATGTTGTGGGGTTACTTTTGTTGTTACTGCTGCTCTGGTTTGCTGTCGTGTCCAAGTTTTGCTCTGCGTCTTCCTTTCTCCGCTTCGCCACCAGTCGTTTTCTCCGACGCACACTCAAACTACACGAACACAAACTCAGTGGAACAGACGGTTCCGATCACAGTTAGCCATATTTACAAAAAAATAACTTTTAAAGTTATCGTGACCTCTGTAAGTGTGTGTGTGTGCTGAGAAAGTAGAGAGGGTCCTACTGGTTTCAACAAATTCAATACTGATATTCAACAACTAAATGGCGGTAGTTTAATAGATAAAAACAAAGCCCGTACTGAAACAATTTAATAAAATCAGAGATGATCACCAATAACTTGGATTTTCCAACACCATCATAGATCTGAAGAATGTCTACTTAAATCATGTGCATGACTTGAAATACGCATTTAGTAGATCTGACAATAAGCTTCCAATAAATATGATCAGGTATAAACAAGAGCTGGCCCAGATTTGAATCAGATTCGATTCAAATCAGAATAAGGCCTGATTGTACCCTGTTATTATTGAATGTTTCAGAATGCATTAGGCTCTATCAGGGACGGATTTAGGGAGGGGGGGCGCCCTTCCTTAGGGATTCGGCCCCCTGCCGACCCAAAATGTCCCCCCTTTAGTACTCTTTAAGAAATCCATTTTTGGCCGAGCGACACTAAAAATTTTCTAAAGGCGCCTTTGGCGCCAATATATCCTAACTTTGAGGGGGGGGGGGGGGGGGGCTCCAAAAAACGCAATTTTTTGGTTAAATCACAATTCGATGAACCGCGAAAACAAGTTGATAAACAAAAAGCAATCCACTTTCATTAAGTTTATCGTCAACAATCGGTTTTTTTTGCAGCCTATTGCAAGAAAATAGCTTCAGTTGCCTAAGCAAGCATTTTTAGGATGTTATCCAGTGAAAACTTGGTGAGTTTGAAAACAAGGTTTGTCTTCATTGCTTTTTGTTCAAAAAGAGAATATGACGAGTTTATCCTACTTTAAACTGAAAACAAGAAATTTGAAATTTTTGTTTTAGCTCATTTTATCGGGTTAATTTAAAACAGGCAGCACTATAGAAGCTTGTTCAGCTGAAAAGCAATCAAAATTTGATAAACCGCGAAAACAAGTTGATAAACAAAAAGCATTCCACGTTCATTAAGTTTATCGTCAACAATCGGTAATTTTTTACTGCCTATTGCAAAAAAATAGCTTCAGTTGCCTAAGTATAAGTTTAAGCATTAGTGAAATGAGAAAGTTTTCAAAAGAAGATTTTGAAAAGTTCCTGTATATCAACTGATACTTCACATTCCGTGCAGGTGGATTTTCAAAAAAAATTATTTCTAGAGTTTTTCCCCTCATTTTTAGGAACACAGATTATATGAAAAAAAAACTATATTAAATATGGCAAAAAACATTTGTAACAATCAAAATTTCACAGTCGTACAGCAAGTTGTTTTAGGATGTTATCATTAGGTAAATTCAGAGTAGTTGGTTGAAACCCATGTACTGTCTGGACGAGGCAGAAGTCTGAAAAAACGCGACGAGGTTATGTTAAAATATTAAAATTAGGTTGCTGAAAATATGTGAATGATACTAACTTGTAGAACTAAATGGCCAATATAACGCTATAAAATTGCAAACTCGGGGAAAAGTGTCGTTTTTTTAAATGTATAACATGAAACCTTTTAATCATTAACAATTATAATATGGTACTTGAGAAATAATTAAGTTTGCAATTTAATTGCAGCTTTATTTCATCCGGTTAATTTAAAACAGGCAGCACTATAGAAGCTTGTTCAGCTGAAAAGCAATCAAAATTCGATAAGCCGCGAAAACAAATTGATAAACAAAAAGCAATCCACTTTCGTTAAATTTATCGTCAACAATTGCTAATTTTTTTGCAGCCTATTGCAAAAAAAATAGCTTCAGTTGCCTATGAAAGTTTTTTTTAGGAGGTTATCTAGTGAAAACTTAGTGAGTTTGAAAACAAGGTTTGTCTTCATTGCTTTTTGTTCAAAAAAAAAATATGACGCGTTTATCCTACTTGAAACTGAGAACAAGAAATTTGAAAGTTTTGTTTCAGCTCATTTCATCCGGTTTAATTTGAAACAGGCAGCACTATAGAAGCTTGTTCAGCTGAAAAGCAATCCAATTTTGATAAACCAAGAAAACAAATTGTTAAACAAAAAGCAATCCACTTTCGTTAAGTTTATCGTCAACAATCGGTAATGTTTTGCAGCCTATTGCAAAAAATAGCTTCAGTTGCCTGAGCACTAGTTTAAGCATTAGTGAAAAGAGAAAAATTTCGAAAAAGGGTTTTAAAAAGTTCCTGTATATCAACTGATACTTGACCTTCCGTGTAGGTGGATTTTCAAAAAAATTGTCTCAAGAGTTTTTCCCCCCATTTTTTAGGAACACAGATTATATGAAAAAAAAACTAGATTAGATATGGTAAAAAACATTTGTAACAATCAAAATTTCACCGTCGCACAGCAAAATTTTTTAGGTTGTTATCAATAGGTAATTTCAGACTAGTTGTTGAAACCATCATCCTCTCGTGTTTTTATTATAAAATTAAGATAACGATTCCACTTTTTTTTCGATTTTTTCTGTTTTTTTAAGCTTTGCTCTCTTTTTTTGAAAAAAAAGGATCAGATTGCACTAAGCTACATGAACACAAATTGATCTTTTTTATTATCTTTGGTAACTTTGCAAGAATAGAATAGCTGAACCTACAGTTGTTCTTTTTTCAGGGGGAAAAGAAAACAAAACTTCTCTCTTTATATCACTTCAAATTACAATGATTCTCGGGTGGTTTTTAGGTGTTTATTAAAAGTTGGAGTAACTCAATCAATGGATCTGCTAAAATGTCTTGATACCAAATACTCTAAGCTCTGGAATAACTATAAGTATACAAATAGTATCTCTTTGTAGTACGGTGAAACACAAAAAAAAAACTTTCACAATCCAATGTTTTTTTTTCATTTTGCAAACTAATATCTGTTTAATGAGTTTTCTAAGTCAGTTATTTTATATATCTAACGAAAAATTTTTAAAAACTGCCTTCCACTGCGTCAAATTTGGTTATGTTATAAGAATTTGGTTTTTTTCACTTCTGGTGACTGTTTTTAAAACCTATTTTAGAATGCAATTCAGAAGGCACTTTAGGACGCATTTGTTCTGTTACTTGGAAAAGTTTTGGGGAAAAAATAGGATAAGAAAAGGGTAAAGGACTTATTTGTAGCTAAATTAGAAGTAACTGCTTCATTTTTGCCAGCGTCATTTTCATAGCCAGCCTTTCATAGTAGTTTGAATTAAGTTTTCTGAGAAAAATTTTCAGTTCGAAAACTAATCATTTATGGGGGGATAACCGTAAAAATCCAAAAAACTCTAAAAACTAGTTGATATGCAAGAAAGATCTAGTCACCGCAATTTAGGAAAAAAAATTGATAAAAAATGGTTTATAAGTACAATTAGGTGCTTTAAGCTTGCTTAAAAAGTTTTACTAAACATCGGTTCAAACATGATTAAGTCTCTCCGCATCCAGTTTCAAGCGTTAATAACCGAATACATTATGATTTTAGTACCAGTCTTGATAAAAAATTTGAAAAAATTGATTTTAATCAATTGATAATCGATTATAATGTCTCTTTTTGAAACCAATTTTAGTAAATTATAATACATTTAAATCGATTATAGTTAGATTTTGATTCATTTTTTATGCAAATATAAAAGATTATAATTGTTTATTTTTATCCCGATTCCTAATTCATGTTTTGCACAAAAAAATCATTGGACTCGATTATAATTCTTTTGTTTTCGTTCTCGACTTTGCATCTGAAATTTTTCTCTATTTTGTTTTCGACTTTGCATCTGATATGAATATACGTCATGCTTGTTGCAGACGTTGGCTTATGTGAAAAATCGGAAAATGATTTTGACGTTGACAAATAAATTCAAATTTCTAACGATTTATTTTCCATTTTTTCTCCATAAGAGTTGTTTCATGAAGCACATTTTTTTCAACCATTAAAGTACCAGCTAATTGCTTTAGTTCCATGATAACATCGGAAAAAATATTTTCACCCTGCTCGGAAACCTTTCAAACAGTATGGAGTGATCTCTATGTATTTTTTTATTTCGTGGTAAAACTTTGTGTTCAGATGAACCAAAGTGAGACAAAACATCTCGCTTTTAGAGATTTTGTTATTGACAAAAAATAATAACCTTCAATAAAATATACTTTTGCTGCGACAAAGTTTTGGCAAAATAATAGATCATAGTCAATTGTAATCGATTAGAATTGATTTGAAGCGTTTTTGCATGAACTATAATCAATGCTTATTGATTATAAGAGATTATTATCTCTTGGAATATATCACAATTGTAATCGATTATAAAAGCTTGACATCTAATTTTGGTAGCTATAAGCCAATATATTTCTCGAAAAAAAACACGAAAATAATCCGTTATAATCGATTACCTATGCATGAACTTGGATGCGGGTGACCTTGAAAAATATAAGTTTGTCTAAAGACAACTAACTATCGGTCGACAGCTATACTGAGCTGATTATTGACGAAGATATGAATTTGAAATTAAAATCATTTTGATTGGTTCATTCATTTTTTTATTCATTCAACTTGAAAAAAACTACCAAATTGTGATCATCTTGATTTTAAAAGATTGTATTTGCAGACCGGCGCACATTTTTTGCCCCTCAAGAGACGATATGCATTTTTCTATAGCTTCTGGTTCCTTCTAACGCCCAAAAGTGTTTAATCATGAATTTCTTTGAACGGAGGCTTTAATTTAAGTCTTAGAGTTCAACCAACATAGTCCACACTAATCTTACAAAAGATATTGTCCGCTTGATCCAGATAAAGTGCAACTTTCAGAACACACCTATCATTATAAATTTGACACTCCAATTCATAGATATTGGTAAAACAGAAGTCAATAACGAGGCCTTTGGTGCCAATATATGCTATTTTTAGCGCGCGCCAAAAAAACCGCCGTTTTTTGCCAAAATTTTCCAAAAAAGCTTCAAATTTTGTTAAAACGTTTGTCTGTGTGAGTTTTTTTCATGTTGCTG